GTGTTTTTTCTGAGAAAAATAACCACTCTTTTGAATGCAAATAGTAAATAACTCTACTCTTCTTATTGCCTAAATTTGTTCGAGTGAGAACTGTTTTTTTACCAGGTAACAACCATTTATCAGTAATTTGTTTGACCAGTTTGCTTTCCCTATCTTCTTCTTTCGCACCATTTGTTTATATTTGTCTAACTGCAAAATATTATGAAGGTGATGTTAACAGCATTAGTGTTGGTTCCGGGACCAACATACAAGACAACTCTTTAGTTCACGTAGCAAAATCCAATTTGAGTGGAAAGGTTTTACCAACGATCATTGGAGATAATGTTACTGTTGGTGAGTGATATATCTTGTTTAAAATGATATTAGTATCTATCATTCGATGTGTATGTGTTAAGGTTTCAAATTTGAACTGGACAGGTCACAGTGCCGTGTTACATGGATGTACTATTGAGGACGAGGCATTTGTGGGGATGGGAGCGACATTGCTTGATGGAGTCTTCGTTGAAAAACATGCAATGGTTGCTGCTGGAGCACTTGTGAGGCAGAATACAAGGATCCCATGCGGAGAGGTCTCTCAATACTATCATTTTACTTTGTATCAGTGTATTTATCGGTCTTGAAATTTATAGTCAAATTGATACGGTTGTTACTTGACTCCCACAATTCTAGGATTGATGGCACAATTCACCAGTCTCCAATGGAAAATTGCTCTTGTTTGTTTATGTGATTGAGAGAACGGTAGTTAGGAAGAGTATTAAAGGGATTAGGTCAAGTGTGTGAGCTGATCTGTTTTGAGGTGTGGGTTCATGTAGTTACTAGTTTTTTATGATGTGGGTAAAATGTGTGCAAAAGAATATACACTTAGAGTGATGAGCGGGGTCGTTTTGGCTTTTTGCCGAAGTCTTGGAAGGAGACTGTAGGATCTCTGAATCGTCCCTTGGATACGAACCCTTCTCCATTCTATAAAGTAATTTGCTTATATCATGTTTGAAAGAAATTATTAACTATTAGTAGTGCAATCACAGGTATGGGGAGGCAATCCGGCCAAATTCCTGAGGAAGCTTACAGAAGAAGAGATGGCCTTTATCTCCCAGTCAGCCATTAATTATTCCAACTTATCACTGGTTCATGCAGCTGAAAACGTAAAGAGCTTTGACGAAATTGAATTCGAAAAGGTTCTTCGCAAGAAGTTTGCTCGTCGTGATGAAGAGTATGATTCAATGCTGGGCGTTGTTCGTGAAATCCCCCCAGAGCTCGTTCTTCCAGATAATATACTGGCCAATAAAGTACCAAAATCTTCTTAAGACATTTTCTTAATGTAGGCACATAAAAATTCTTCCCCTTTCAAATGTCGAGTTGATAAAAGACGAGACTTTCATCTCAAATAATTTATGGAGGTTGGATGAAAGAGCGAGTGCCAGCAATCACGGACAACGTCCTCTGGCCACAGCTCGAGTCAATCATCTTCTCCGAAACCCCATTTTTCTTCCTCTTGAGAAATCAGGTACAATGAGACATCATTACTTTGGATGCTTTAATCATCTTGAATCCATTCTTGGTTTTGAATATTTCATTGGCTGTTACTAGTTGGAAATAAATAACTAAGGAGGCTTCCTGATTCTTTTTCATAGATCAAATCTTTGAATCGAAACAGGGAGCTAATATTTGTTTGGGAGTGTTTGATGCTTGTCTGATTTGATTACATTAGCCAACTGTAAAGGTCTCTCATGTGAAGCAAATGTATGGCTGATGCAATGCAGAAGGGTGGACGAGGGGGATGTTCTTAGCCAATGTTGCGGCTATGGAGTTTGGTTGATAATGGGATGAATGGGCCAATCTGTTTGTCGGCCTTCTTTGAAGAATAATAATCGTACAACCATTTTGTTTTGTTTTTTGTTTTTTTTTTTTTTTTTTTTACAAAAAAACCTAGATGCTTGATGAACCGAAAGAAATGTCAATTATTAAAGCCACTAGCTTTTCCTATTAAGATCCCCACTTCCATCTCCCTGAGTGGCAAAGTTGAGTAAAGTACATGCTTGATTTGACATGGATTCAATAGCTCCAACTTGATCCCCCAAGAAACACTGTTTATTCGCTTCGTGGACCGTACAAATTCCTTTTTAAGTTTTAAGTTTGGTTCGTGGATTCAAGTGATACATAAGTAAGATGTTTAATCGAGCATTGGGAGATAAGTAAAATGAATGGAAGTGAGTGATTGAAAGTGGGTATAAATCACTTTTAAGCTCTAAATTCAGTTGGAGATTCAAGTGATACATAAGTAAAATACTTTACTGAGCATTGAAATCGATCGATAAAAATGTAAATTTAAGAGATAAAACGAACGGAAGTGATTGAAAGTAGGGGTAAAATGAACGGAAGTGAATAAAAGTGAGTACAAATCACTTTAAAGTTCTAAGTTCAGTTATTCGTAGATTTAAGTGATACATAAGTAGAATACTTTATCGAGCATTGAAATCGATCGACAAAAAAGTAAATTTAAAGATAAAACGAACGGAAGTGATTGAAAGTGAGGAAGTGATTTAAAGACGTGACGTTGATATTGATAAAGATGTGGAGTCCAGTAATTTGGAACCAAAATGTGAGGAGAAATGGGCAATTGGGGCATTGTGTATTGGGAGAAGCAAAAGGCAAACTAACCCATTTGCCATTGGCCATTATAAAGAGACAAACACCAAAGCAAATAACCTAACCCCATTTTCCATTTTTCCTCCTCTTCTAGTGGACGTTGACCAATTATCTTCCAAATCCTTCGCTCCGTTTCTCTTTCAATTTCGTCTCTATAATTTAGTTGAGACGATAATTCAACTAAAACGTTGTATAGCTCGAATCACTCTACACTAACATACTGATTTCAAAGTTTCACAACAAAGAACAACTCGATTTTTAAGTTCGAGATTGAACCTTCTACCTTAAAAAAAGTGATACGAGACGTTTGAGTGATGTGAGGAGGGTCAGTTGAAGCCAACCTGACACATTATTTCACCTACGAATCTAATTACTCAAAGCCACGAACATGATGAAAGAATTAAACGAAATGGGTATTCCATTATGGGTATTAGAAATGGTATTTTAATAAGAAATGATGATATCGTGTTGGTTCCACTTTTGTCTTATAATACTAACAAAATTGTATTGCTTCCTGTTCGTTCGTGGCTGCTTTACGTCACAGGGACACTGAAAGTATTTCAAAGCTTTATTCATTTAGTTTGCCAACCATCAATATTCCAACATTTTTCCTCTTTAAACTTTAATTCTTTGTTATTGTTCTTACTTCGTGTTTTGTTTATCACCTTTCCTTCATGGAATGGTTCATGTTAGTAGTCTAAATAGAAGCGTCTAGATGATGTTAATGTGATTAGATGGATACCGTGCTTGAAAATTTGTGGTAGTAATACATTTTTGTGATATTGAATCGAACATATAATCACTATGACATGATGTCTTACTATCTTACAAACACTTTCGAAAATAATTTTTGAAACTTCAAAATATACGTACTATCACATGTGGCTCCAGAGTCTATAAGTAACAAAAATTCAAGAAAATTCAATCAGTTCTTTTGGGAATTTTGAGAATGTTCTTGGAGAAAGGGTTTTTGTAAAAAGGACAAACAACGACAGAATTCGAATATAACTTATTATTTAATAGAACACACTATGATTAGTACAAAAGATAATAATTTGATATCAGCGTTTCAAATCATCATTTTGTGATGTAACGTTGGAGAACAACAACATAAGAAAAGTGGAATTAACGTTGGATCACAACAACACAAGAACGTGAAGTTGAAGCGTTTTGTGGTCCATATTTGAAAAAATCTCGAAGGGATTGAAAATCAACGCAATCAACAAAGCTTGCATCTAGCTAGAAAAGATAAAAACAACGCTATCAAGTCATATAAACGAGAATCGAACAATATCGTCGAAACTAAATTTGATCCACCCAAAATCCGTTACAATAACTCCACTTTCGAACAAGACAAAAGAAAACCCCACACCCAAACAATGAACAAAATTTCAAAAGTTGGATGGAACTTGTAATGATGTGGACAATATTGAGGAGTTAGAGAAAGAATGTATAAATTTTAATATCGAACCATATTTTACTCCTAAAAATTGCACATAAATTAGGCTTCTATGTTTGAATAAAATTCGTGTTCGGAGCGAGGCAGAGACGGAGGATAACTTCTTTGACCCCGCTCTCATTCAATTCTACGTCTCCGAGAATTTGTTCAATATTATTCTTAGAGTCGTGAAAATTTTAATTTTTTTGATTTCTTTTTTTCTTTTTCTTTTTAATGAACTTTTAAGGAGGACTCAAGCCCCATTCACACTTTTCACCTGACTGTGTGGTGTGGCTTCCGACCTTAAGCAAGGTTTGTACCAAACATCACTTGTGCAGGATCCAAGCTTATTTGACCACATATGTTGTCTACACATGCATGTTAAATCATTGTCAGAATCCAAGCTTGTTGTCTGCACATGCATGTTAAATCGTTGTTAGAATCCAAGCTTGTTGTTTGCACATGCATGTTAAATCGTTTGCAACACAACATCGTCACATCTTATCATCATCTTGATTCCCAACATGTCCCATGTATCATGATGTTACCCCATGCTCAAGACAACTCGACCATCTTAGTTTGCTCTATCAAATTCTTTAGAATACCTGTATCGAGTAATTTTTGAACCGAAAGAATCAATTATTTAATTTTTGAAACCTATAAACTAATTTGACACAACTTAAGCTTTAGCGATCAAAAAAGTAATTTGCCTTAAAAAAAGGGAAAAGAAAAACGAGGGAGGGACGAGGATCGAGATGGGAATCCAACTTGAGAAGATTTTTTCTTTTTCTTTCCACCGCCTCCCCACTAAACGTGCATCATTCACGAAATCAACTACATAAAGAATTTCAAAATGGAATGTCAGAACTCCGCACTAACTAGATAAAAGAAAAATTATAATTATATACGTCAGAGATACTATCAACACTATCTCCATCAATAAAAGACCATTTGAGAAACTTTTATGTTCCTAGTTAAATAGCATCATACAAATCAATATCGATATCAAAATCATGGTCTAACTTCGTTGGGTCTGTCGGGACAACTTTGAAGTTATTTCTCATTTAAATGGCCTAACATATAATAAGCTCAACTAAGGTTAAGAGAAGGAAAATCACACAAGCCAATGACGAGCTACCAGTAGAGCCATGGTGCTCTAGAGTAGTGCTTCCGCAGTGTTGGTGGTGGTCTTTGGTGCCCAAATTTGGCCATTACTCTTAAGGTGTTTTCTTTGCTCCATTTCTCCACTTTAACCATAGGCTTCAAATAACACCTTTCCAACCAGTTTTCCCCCAATGATTTGGTCACCACAAAATCCAAGTCACACTTTCACTAATATCACAATTATTTTTCGCCGGTGGTTTAGACGAAATTATCTTTGCAACAAAAGTAGACTTTTAGTGCATACAAACTACTCTTAACCAAACAAGTCAGAAGTTAGTATATAACTAATGGAGAGGTCATCGTATTAAACTTAAATGAACTAAAAATTCTTTAAAAAATAACCCACGAAAAAAATTTCACCAATATGAACATAGCTCAACGGGCATAAAATAAGCATCTTAAACAAGAAAACAAATAAGAACGAATATGACCCATGGGATATCATCATACTAAACTTAAATGAACTAAAAATTGTTTAAAAATAACATACGGAAAAAGTTATACTAATATGAACATAGCTCAGCTGACATAAAATAAATATTTTAAACAAACAAGCTAGAAATAAGTAAGAAATGATACGATGTTTTCTATATGGGTAGTTTTTGTTTCTCGAAGAAGCTTAAAGCACTAGGGGGTTTAGTGGGAGAAACAAGTTTAGATTCTCCATAATTCTTTGAACATTATGGTATGATCATATTTGAAATTGAAAACAATTATATCTCCCCATTCATGTTCATTTAAATGTGGAGAGAAAGAGATGTTTAAACCCATAATTTCCTAACAAGTCACCATAATCCAACACCAATAAAATGATCGAACTCCACTTGATTGCAATCATTATGATTATTTTTTAGTTAAACTACTATACAACCACTTCAATTTTCTTTTTTGTTGATATGCTAATTTTCTAGAAAAACATAATGCTTCATTACTACCTAAACAAATCACCAAAACCAAAACCCACGAGTTAAAAAATTAAGAATTTGGTGGATGTTTCGTGTACGGTTTTGAAGTCGAGCCTTTCCAACAATGGAGCCTAGGGATCAATATGATGATTGGTTTAGGTAGGGCGACTGACCTACTATGGACACCTGTAGGGAATGTGCATGAGACCGCACTGTACACATTCAAAGAGGGGATATACATAAAAAAGTAGTTGGTAGAAGAAAAAATGTTGCACATTCCTATAAAATGTCCGACTCCACCTCTCGGTACCCCTAGAATCATATGTTCATTACCTTGACCCGTGTACATGCAGTAAGAAAAAATTGCTAACCATACTCGGACATCTCAAGATGTCTGAGAACAAACAAATGTAGAGAGATTATGAATGAAAGAAATTAAGAAGGTGCATGTGAGATCCCACATTGGTTGGGGAGAAAAACGAAACATTCTTTATAAGGGTATGAAAACCTTTTCTTAGGAAACGCGTTTTAAAAACCTTGAGGGAAAGCCCGAAAATAAAAGCCCAAAGAAGACAATATCTACTAGCGGTGGGTTTAAGTTGTTACAATGTAAGTGGAAGAGTCTTTGAAGAAGCTTACCCATATTTCCAACATGTTCTATGTTCTAAGTTAAAAGGGGATGTTTTGAATCCCCCAATGGAATCAAAACTATTCTTAGTTTCATGGTTGATGGAATAGCAAACCCAAAAGTCCTCCATTGCTGCAAGAACCAAAATGTAGGCCTCTACTTAAAGGGTGCATGAATGGTGTAGTGGAAAACAGGAAAATGGTGCAATCAGTTTGTGATGGGCACCCCACTGATCCACTGATCCATTCACCCCACACCCCATCTTGGGAAAAAGAAAATGACTCTAAATTTGGGTCAACATTAGGAATATCCCTTGAGTTACACGTGGCCAAAGCCGCAACTTTTGGGATGAACAATGCTGGAAAATCTATGTCAATTTGTAATGAATAAATCAACTCCTTGATTTGATAGAGTCGGTTTTGTTTTCCATTTCCACAGAACAATTTGCTTTTGCTTACAAAAACCTTATCTTAAGGAACAAAACACACACTCTGCCAACCAACATGAGCAAGTCAGAGGAAAAAGAAAAGCAGTGGCATATGAGATAAGCTTCAAACACACAATTCACTGTCACTTTTCTTTCTTCTTTTCATCGCCTTTTTTCTTTTTGTTCCAAAAGTTAGCTCAGTTTCTAAATCTTTGAACATATTTTCATTAGTTTACGAAGTGGTGATGGGAATCCTGAAGCCTAATTTATTCTACGAGTTATGTTGGCTTAAGATTCTTATTCTTCCAAGGGATTATTTGGAGAAATGTAAAGAAACCAAAGAAATATCTCTATCACATCGGTTGGGGAGTAGAACAAAGCATTCTTTATAAGGATGTGGAAACCTCTCCTCAGTAGACGTGTTTTACTTGAAGGGAAGCTTGAGGATGTGGAAACCTCTCCCTAGCATACGCGTTTTAAAAACCTTATAGGGAAGCTTGAAAGAGAAAGTCCTTCATAAGTATGCGGAAACCTCTCTCTAGCAGATGCGTTTTAAAAACATTGAGAGGAAGCCCAAAAAGAAAAGCCCTTTATAAGGATGTGGAAACCTCTTCCTAGCATACGCGTTTTAATAACCTTGAGGAGAAGTCTGAAAGTCAAAGCCCAAAAAAAGGACAATATCTGCTAATGGTGGGCCGCTAGTACTATGGAAGTAGAAGATGGAGTTGGGCTCAGTGGAACAGAGGGAGGAATGTCAAACAAAGTAAACCCAAAATATTGGATGTGTTGTTAATTTGAGTTTAATTTACAAACAGTGAAGGTGATGTAAGAACTCAAGATGCCAAAGGTTTCAGTTGTTGCTAATCGTCCATTCTTTATTAACACTGTTTGAATCAATAGCCAACATGATGGCCCCTCCCAAGAAGGCAAGTAAATAGGCACTATTCATGAAAGAAAATATCATAAAAAAGAACATGAGGCCAGAAAAAGAAAGAAAAAAAAGGGGGACAAAAAAACTTTCGTACTTCATCAAATTCTACCATTAAAAGGGGCATTTGAACAACACAAAGAACTCATCCAAGTAGAGAAGAACAAGAACAAGAACAAGAACCAAACCCAGAACCAGAACCAGCTCCAAATCTTTACCCATATGGATATTGAAAAAGTTTTCCACATGAATGGTGGAATTGGCAACAATAGCTATGCCAAAAACTCCCATCTTCAGGTCCTCTCTCTGATATGTTATATACATATTGAAATGTTTTTTGTCCTACTCTCTTTCCTTTTCTTTTGTTTTCTAATGGCTAAACCACATGATTGTAACAGAAGAAAGGTTCAGATATGGTAAAGCACATAACAATGGAGGCCATAGAGCAAGTTTACCTTTCCACCGGCACTCCTGCGAGCTTCGGCATCGCCGATCTGGGCTGCTCCTCCGGTCCAAATTCGCTATCGATCGTCAAAGAAATAATCCAAGCCGTTCAATCGCTAAGCTCCAGTCATCTACAGCCGCCGCCGGAGTTCCGCGTCTATTTGAACGACCTTCCGACCAACGATTTCAATTCCATCTTCAAAGCCCTCCCCGATTTCTGCAGAGAGCTTCAAAACGAAGGCAAAAATCAAAATCCATCGGGGTTTTTCATTGGGGCCTATCCAGGCTCATTTTACCAGAGACTTTTCCCCAATAATTGCTTGCACTTCGTCTATTCCTCTTACAGCCTCCACTGGCTTTCTAGGGTTTGCCGCCATTGCTATTTCTTTTTCCCCCATTTCCTTTTTCTTTTTTAGGATTTTCTCTAATGTTTAAAATTGTTCGTTTCGGTGATCATCGTTGTAGGTTCCTGAGGGGCTTCGAAATGAATTGGGGGAACCGCTGAACAGAGGGACCATTTATATATCGGAGAGAAGTCCAATTTCCATAGCGGAGGCTTACGTGAAGCAATTCCGGCGAGATTTCTGGGAGTTCCTGAGGAAGAGAGCGGAGGAGGTGGTTTCCGGCGGCCGGATGGTGCTGATCTTGCTCGGAAGAGACGGTGCCGATCATGTCGATAGAGGAAATTCCTTCTTGTGGCACCTTCTTGCTCGAGCCTTCGCCATTTTAGTCTCGCAGGTAACAAAAATTAAATAAATAAACATAAAAATGTTTGCTTATTTTTTTAAATGGTTTATTTTATTTTATTTTATTTATAAATTTCCTTAGAAAAAAAAAAAATATATATATATATATATATATATATATATTCATTAAAAAATGTAATCAAGAATCTTCAATAGTGATGTCGGGTGACCTGTTCATCCAGGCATGTATATCTCAACGATATTGGATTAGAGTGGATTTTTGATGAGGGTCGAGCGTTTTATAACGAAAGATGTATTTTGTTCGTGATATTATAGGGAAAAGTGAAAGAGGAGGAAGTAGATAGATACGACGTGAATTTTTATGCACCGAACAAAGAGGAGATAGAAGAGGAAGTAAAAAGAGAAGGGTCGTTCGGGTTGGAGAGAATAGAGAAGTTTGAGTTAGAAAAGAAGGTGAAAAACAGCGAGAGCTACGGGAAAGAAGTGGCAAAGACTGTTAGAGCCATTCAAGAATCTATGATATCTCACCATTTCGGTGATGCAATTTTGGAGTCTTTGTTTCATAATTATGGTACCATTTTGGACGAAGAATCTGCGAAACAAGATATCAAACCCATCTCTTTTGTTATCGTTCTTACAAAGTTTTAAACTATTTATTCCGAAAACAATTCTTAGTCTCACATTTTTTGTATTATTTCTACTCCATTTCTTATCGATTTGACGTCGTTCTAATTGTCTCATTCCGTTATTCTTTTACCAAACTAAATATATTACAGAGTTATGAGCTTTGTGATTATATAAAATCTCGAACATCGAGTTTGAACACTAACAACAGTATAAAAAACTAGTTTTTTTTAATTTCTAAAAGGCTCGAGAGCTATTTTGAATCTACTGCGACCAAATCGAAAAAGATTCATTATTGAAGGGCAACTAACTCTGATATAAACTCAATTACGAGTCAAAAAGTCGTAAATTTTAATCATATTTCTCGGGATGCGCCCTAAGAAAAGGAGGGCTATAATTAAAAATAGGTACAAATGAAAGGAGTAATGTGCAAAAGAACAAAATATTTCAACCATTTCTTCAATTTTAATTTTATAAACATAATTATGAACTTGTCCCCAACATAACTTTAAAATAATTAGGCCCATTTCATAATATTTAAAATATATTTTTATATTTTTTAAATTGTTTCTTATTATTTCAAAAATTTTAATTTAATTTATATTATAAACAAACGAATAATGATAGTTTTTATTAATATTTGATCGGGATATATTCGTAAAAAACTTAATTAGTGATAGGTCCAACCTCGGTTAGTGAGAGTTTAAATTCGTGTCATATTTACAAATACTCTTAGATTATGCTTGTAACGACCCTAAATTTCCACATACTCAGAGTCGCTACTAACGTCTCATGCTCATCTACAATTCGAAAATATAACTTTTACATGAACATCATTTATGACGTAAACTTCGAAAAACGCTTAAAAACAACTTTTTCTCTAGAAAATACAGTCATAGTCTTACGTGTTTAAATACAGTAAATACTAAAGTGTAGAGAAAATAAAAACAAATACAAAATAATTTAAAACAATGAAATGCAAAACATCCTATTCTAACTTAAGACTACAAATTTAAATATGAGTTTACCCTATGCACAAGCCACAGTCTCTGGTCGCGATGCCACCACACTCCGTACAAGTGCGCATTGTCTTTACTTGAAAAAGGATGTGGCACACCGCCTGAGTGTGCCTTGTTGGATTTTTTTTATTATTATTTTGTGTTAGATTGTCGTATACGTAGCCACCCCTGAAAATTTTCTCTCTCTCGAGAATCATTTTTTCCTCATCTAAATATTAGTCAATCGAGTATATTAAATCGTGTAAATTTATCACGGGTCAATTTTAACTTTGACTAACACGCGAGAGTTTTTCTAATATTTATTTTTTTTAAAAAAAAAAAAAAAAAAGATTTTAGCCTATTGGGCCAGCTCAAAAGCGAAAATATAAGTTGGGCTCTATTTTAATTATAGTCATAATTTTATTAAATCATTTAGTATATTTATAATTTTCTCTAATATTTCTTATACTTTAATAATCAAATTAATTTAAATATTATAGAAATAAAAATTCAAAGGTAATGATTAAAATTTAAATACTCAACCAAAATATTTAATTGCATAAAAAAAAATTATATATAAATTTTTTTAATACTAAAAGAAAAACCAATAAATACTATTTGTATGGGTGTTCGTGTGACCAAAGAATCAGACCAACTCGAACTATTCAACCCACACCATGTAAGTTGAGTCCGTTAAAAAAAAAAAATTGATTTTGTTGGATCGAACTTTTAAAAAACTAAAAATTTAGGTGAGTTGGCTGGTTTGACATTTTTTTTATTAGGTTAACCGAACAAACTCGAAAATAGAGTTGTATCCTGACCCATCATTAACGTATTTTTAAGATTATTTTAAAGATTAAAAATATTTGACGTTTATAATCAATGTTAGTGATGTGTTGTGACTCGTGAATATTTGATACTCTAATTTTTTGAAATTTTAGTTATTAATGTAGCATGTATCATGGATAGATATGATTTTTTTTTTTTTAAAATAATTTAACAACTTAATCAAACTTACTCGGGTCACCAACTCAACTAACTTAACCCCAACCCGACCCAATTAAAGAAAAAAAAATCAACATGGACTAAAATTTAAGATCAAGCATTTGAAATACTATTTTAAAAATAAAAAAGTGGTAAATTAATTATATTTCCTTGTTAGAATAATCTCTTATTCATATACCGACAGCAAGAACAATTGACACACGTTGTTCTGTTCTTTTATAACATTATTTAATACACAAAAAATACTAATTTTAAAAGCATAATTTATAGTATATAAAACAATTTAAATTATAAGAATTAAATATGTAATTTTAAAAGAAATTAAATTTAAATTCGATAATAGATATTGTCTTATTTAGACTTGGTGGTTTGTTCTCCTCCCAACCAATTTGGGACATCACAATCCACTCCCTTTAGGGCCCAGCATTTTCGCTAACACTCTTTCCTTCTTTCAATCGATGTGGAACCGCCCTCAAATCTATCCCCTTTGGGGCCAAGTGTCCTTACTGACATACCGCCTCGTGTCCACCCTCTTTCAGGGAACAACGAGAAAAATGACATATCGTCCGGTGTCTAGCTCTGATATCATTTATAACGACCCAAATCCACGCTAGTAGATATTGTTCTCTTTGGGGTTTCTCTTTTGGGTTTCCCCTCAAGGCTTTAAAACATGTCCCACATTGGTTGGGGAGGAGAACAAACCACCATTTATAAGGGTATGAAAACCTTCTCCTAGCAGACACTCTGCTAATGGTAAATCTAGATCATAACAAATACCAACGACAAAAATATTAATTAAAGATAGATGTAATATAAAAGATGCGTCGATATTAATTATTGTAATATAAAAGTCATATTCTTTTCATTAAATTCTTACTTCCAACTTTATGTTTATTATTATTATTATTATTTTAATATGCTTTTTTGACATGAGAATAATTTATTTTACTAAATTAATTTTAAAAAACGTTTAAATAAAATAATATTAATTTTTGTTTTTAAATTTTTATTGTAAATTTATATATAAAAAATTGTAAGAACATTTGTGTTCTTTTTTTATGGGAATAAAAGAGAATCATATTCTAATTAATGGATTGATGTCCTTTTTAATAAAATTGTTAATTAGTTGTACATATCAATTTAAAATTTTTGTTTTAAAATTAATATTACATCCAAAGTCAACTTTAAATGGTTGACTCGATCAAGTATTAACTTTAACTTCATTCAACGAATTTTGCTAATCAATTAAGACTCAATTTATTCTTATTCTTAATGTCTGTCTCTACTGAATGATAGGTATTTAGGTATTTAGGAACTTGTACGGTCGAGCTTAACCTAGATTAGTTTGATGGGATAGTGCATTAAGATTCTGAAAAGGGTCACAGAGACGAAAACTTGTCTGAGATAGACGAGGAACACACGTTAAAAGTTCAAATTTTCATGCCCAAATCAGTGTACTACTAATAATAAAAAAACACAATTTCATAAATTATTCCGTAATTAATCTTATTGTTTAGGTCGACTTGTAGGAAGTGGACGATATGTTTTTGTATTTTTATAAGAAGCTCTACGACATCCATGGTTCCCGAGAGTAAGTTGTCGGCATATCGCGCGTTAACAAATTTTTATTAAATAATGGGTTTTTAAGAGGGGATAGCTTACAAACCATGCGTCTGTATGACCTAATAACTAGTTTCGCCTCTTTGTCTAACTCTATTAACATGTCTGCTCTTATGGTTTGTCTATTAAAATTGAAGTAGATA